TTTCACGTGATACAAGTATGTAGGGCCTTCTTTGAGGTCTTCTCGACGGTTTCCTTCCCTTTTTTCTTTGCGAGAAAGTCAACTAGCACGTTCAATTCTGTTTCGCAACCCTGTTACCTTCGTACTTTCCGCTGGCTCATCGCGAAGCCTGCCTTTAATTAGTTGCGTTTATAGGTGGGTACTTCTTTATTCATTCACCACGTTTTCAGGGGTATGAGGAAAACATTTTTTGCATATCTTAATTTCCAATAGGCTGTCAGACACTTCTTATTCAGTAGAGGCTATTCACAGAGATGAGAATAATAAACAAAAAAAAATTCGTGAAAGGAATGCCTGAAAAAAACATCACAGGTACGCCTTATACCCCAGAAAATAAGGTATTTATTTATTTATCTGCTCCTATACCGTAGCCGTAATGCCTCATTTCTCCGACAGGCGAAAACATCAGATCAATCAAACTCCCTCGAAAACCGTTAGAAAAACTCGGGCGTCGAAAATCCACCACCTGCAGAGTGGGGCAACGCCCTCCTTCTGTTGAAACTCCGTGATGACGAAATGCGAAATGCTTGAATGACTCACTGCGCACGAAAAACAATGACGCCCGAGCTATTTTTAAGCGAGGTCTCTCTCATTGATGAACATCGAAATTACCGGTTTCGAAGGCCAAGTTCTCAAAGATGATGAACTTCAAATCCACTAAAATCTCATAGGTAAGAACGCCTAGTAGACAGTAGCAGTGGGGAGTCGGCACGTGTGTAGTGCGGAAATTTGATAATCTAAAGCTTCACCCACAATCCCTTCATCTCCCGAAACTCTTGACAAGAAACAAATAGATACTCACACGACTTGAGGAGCATGTTGACCCTCTGGATAGACATGATGAGGAGGATAAGGATTATGATTCTGCGGATAATATGGCGTCTAAAAAGGAAACTTAAATAAAAATATAAAAATAAATCAATACAAATTAATAATAAATTAATCATATGTAAATATGAATAGGTGGTCAGATAGAAGAAAGAGTTCTGAAGGCAGACAGATAGACAAACAGACAGACAGGACAGACAGATAGATGAGATAGACCGGTGTACAGACAAGGAAAAAAAGGAAATCAAGTAAGTAAAAACTTCGCCTGTTCCGCGTGGTTTCCGCTAGAACTATACCTAAAAAAGCATTTTCAGCCAATCTTAGCCAAGGGAAAATTTGAAATGTGGCCTGAATTCATAAGGGAAGCAGTGAAATGTGTTGGCGCCGGTTCCAGAAAGGAGTACATATGCTAAGACATGTGCAGTACTGGTGATACGATCTTGTGGCACGCCTCCGCATCCGCAGTGGTGTTCACTGCGGATGCGGAGGCGTGCCACAGGATGGTTTTGGCGCGGCGCCAGCCCGGTTTCTACCAACTGTTGTCGCTCGCTGGCTTAAAGTGATTATGTTCAATAACTGTGCACCTCTCACTTGTAGATGTTGCTGAATAATGGCCGGCTAATCAAGGATATTTCGCTTGGAGGGGACATCTTCCTGCCTTCCCTCGAACACCTCTAACAGACACTAAATTACTGTAAAGCTCATGTGCATTAGCAGGAGCTTCCTTTACACCAAAGGCAGGAGTCTTCAAGTCACACCTATTTGTGACGTGTAATTTAATAGGTACTAGCGAAAGGAACGTATGTGAAAAATAATAAGCGGATGTGAAAAGTGCCCCTCTTAAGCCAAACAGCACCAATTTTTCCCACAGCAATGGTCAATTTTGTTAGGGGAAAGCAAGCATTACAGTGCCATTCAGAATAATGGCATTGTGAATTGTTTGGTCCATCGGGTTGCGGGGCAACAGGAGAGCAGTGCCAGTATTTCACCTTTCTGCGCCACTTCTGTACTAATCAACCAATCCGCGGAGCTGGATGGCCCAGATGACGTAGTCTCTTCTTGCCATGCGCATCTACTGTGACACTCACGCTCGGTCAAATGGCCATGGGCTATTTAGAACATTTGTTGAAGGGAAAACCAGAATAACAGTGGACGTTAAAGAGGATGGAGCTGGTATTTCCTGTTTTGCCAATAGAGATGAAGGTGAGAGGAAAATAGTAAAAGGAAGAGGATAACGACTGGAGTACGAGCTTCCCCTGTTTCTGGGTAATATTTCACACCTATGACAAGTTTTTCACTGCCTAGTATGATGCATACGCACGAAGATGAACACCCCATTTCCTAGAGATGGGCAGGGTGTGGCTGCGTACTTCACTTGATCATTGCGTAAGATGCGTTTTTCGTGAAATATTTCCACTTAGGCCTGCTGTAATTTTGATTTTGGAAACAAAGGCATACTGCAAATGTGCAAAAATGGCGATATCCCACAAAAAAAACAGCCGCCACCATGCGCAAATGAAGCGCGCAGCCATACCCTCCCCATCTTCGAGATATGCAATCTACATAGCGAAGAAAGAACTTGTCAAAGAATGGAATTTTTAGGGGGGATTCTGTTCATGAAGTCATGACACCCCATGGGTGTCACGCGGCCGCAAGAGATGGAAATAATAGACTGCACATGAATGTTTCCGGAACGTGCTAATGCAGAAGCAAACAAAAAACTTAAAACTGATATTATGAATGCAGCCCTTTTTCAGAGTTGTTTCAATCATCTTTTTCGGTCCAATCATCCCTCTTTCCCTTCACTTTTTTCGGGGTATAATTCCCTTACTGAGATATAAGAGCTCCACTACCAAAAAAGAGGAAAAGACAGGTAATGAGGGCTCCAAAGAACGAGCAGAGCGGACGACGCCTTCACCATTGTCTGGACTTTGATGGAATTGCCCTTCACATTCTTCCAATCAATTAAAAAATCTGAAGGATTTCGGAAAAAGCAAAAAGGTTGAGGAAAAGAGAGAATCTCGGGCTGTTACTCGAGTTTTCAGCTATTTGCGACATTCGTGAGGCAAGAGTCCAGATCGGAGAGAAAAACTGAGGGCACGAAAGGGCTAAGAGGAAGAGGGAAAGGAGGAAATTACGAGTTTAGTTGTAGAAGAGGTAAGAGACATAAAAAAACTGCAAAAGTTATGACAGCAAGTTGGACAAAAATATATTTATTTAGAAAAAGAATTACTAAATCTTACTCCAGTTGGTTGTGATGAGTAATATGGAGGAGGTTGGCTCATTGTAGAACTGGACTCGATCGATGTCACCAGCTAGACGTCGGCAGGCAGCCTATGCGTGTATATAACGACAGTCGAGTTCGCAGAACGGCAGAGATGGAGGGTGAGAGAAATTCCTGTTTGACAACTGAATCTTTGGCGACGACCGAGTGGGAGCCTCGACGACGACCACACGACTGACTCACCTCCACCCTTGGATACCCCCCGCCCCATCCGTTGACATAATCGATTGCGCACTTCACAAAACTATCTCATTGCATGTGGTTTTTGTCCACGTGTTTTCGTGAACTTGTTGTTTATCGATGCGCCGAGACATGGGCTTAGAGAAACGAAGAACATTCCCGGGTAAAGTCCGTTAACGATGGATTCCTTTGATTATGTCCTTTCTATAATGCACCACGTGTTTCACTTCCATGCGGCGGGGCCTACAGGGTTGCCGATAAATATGCACGGGCGCGGAGGAAATGGCCTATACAATAGGGGGAGGCAAACCCTGAAAGACTGTACATTGTAGCAGTAAGGTGCAAGAACCCTTACCTTTCGACAAATCCATCAATAAGTGGGCGGAGTCGTCGGGGGCGGAGTTGAGTGTACAATTAATTAGAAGTGTATTCAAGGGTCCATGTGGGTAACAGATGAAAAGTTAGTTAGACGTGTTATGCTTTAGAGTCACGCTCTGACGCTTTAATTCGTCTTAATTGTATGATGATTCGGAATTTTATCAACAAATTTGTGGGGACAGGTCCAAGGGAGCAGTTCAGTTGCCATTTGGCACGAGCCCTTAGACTGGGAACCGAACAAATCACATTAGTCTCACCTCTGTGCTCAATCGGTGTTCCACCCCCCCCCCACCTCCTCCCGGACGAGCCTGGTACTAGTTCACCATCATCGGAGGGTAGATGCTCAGCTGGTTTCAGTGGGAGCCCATCCCGGATTTGACTCTGCACCGCCCGCTGTATGCAAGCTATAATAAATTTTCGAAACCTCACCATGTGGCTAAGCTCTTCAAATTCCACTTTTTAGAGGAAAACCGTGGGAATCAAGTAAAAATCCCTTGAAACCCTTCCCTCGAAAATTGTCCCAGAACTCAATATTTGTGAAATCATGTAATGGGGTGAAGGTGGGGCATTGTCAAGTGGTTCGCTTACCAGCGCCCCATCTCCATCCTATCCGCCCTCTCGCTCGCACAGTCCTGAGGCGACCCTTAAACACCTCTGGGACAGATAGGAACTACAGTCCGGAAAGATGAAAATACTGATTTAATGCGCCGTCCCCCACCCCCCCCCCCTGGGAGGTCATATGCATCCCGCATCATGCGAAGAGATTGATCAAGGCGAAAGCTCATCATTGTAATGTTGTGAGAACTGAAGAAAACCTGCGTTTGACGAAGGTTTTTTCAAATATGCACGTGGTCCGATCGTTTCAAATTCAACACAAATGAAACGTGCTATGGCAAGCAAGAGCAGAAGAACGATCTACACCAAGGCCGACTTAGCATTTCCTTGCTCAGCCTTGATGTCTCCGATTGTGCCTTTGAAAGTCCTCGACGGGATGGCCAGAGCTAAAAGAGCTCGAGGACTCTTGGCTTCTAACCCTGCTGCAACTCACATTTTGAAACTTAGAAGTTGGACACGTCGCTACTATCACAAGCGTTGCTTGAGAGATCCTTGGCGGCAGTGGGCACATTGGCTGGGGGGAGGGGTGTTCAATGTTGTTGGTTGCCGTCAATGTTATTTGAGAAAGGGGTGGCTCAGCTCTTCCACCAATGACGCTGGCAGCAAACCCCTCTCCCAGCTATTACGCCATTTGCCTTTAAATTACTCATCAGCTGTCCTGAAAGTCACTGCCAAGATGGCTGTTCAACTGATATCGAGTGCCCTGATCTTACTCGTTTCAGCTGAAGATGAGCATGAAGTTTCTGGTGCTGATTCTCGCGCCCTCCAGCTGTCAAGTTGCACCAGTCCCATTAATTTTCCGTACATGACATTCCATCTACATACTAGGAGATAACACTGAAATGAACATAAGAGGTTCATGACGGGACTTCTACATTTTTCATTCTCAATAGCACCTCAAGACAAGTCATTAACGTGTTTGTGACGTCAATGACGTGCCATCTGTTTCTTAACAGGTGACGAACAGGACTTTTTGATAAGGTGCCCTTGATTGTAATTCAGTTTTGTTCTATTTCTGCAGGAGTCTTATCACTAAAGCAAAGAGGGAATCCTGCAACAAAAACTTGTTTTTCAGGAGTCGGTGTTCACTCTATGACATCTTCCAATGCCGGAAAACTCTCTAGTGATATCATGTAACCAACTAGAAGTGCAAATTAATCGTTTGGCGCTTACCAATCTTTTTTTAGTGTTCGGTACGCTTCCGTCTTCCACTTATATCCTGGTATATGGCCAAAAAACTGCCTCATGAGACCAATCTGCAAACGGTGTCGTTCGCTGCCAGTACTGGGGTGGGTTAGTTGGGTGTGGTTTGGCGCGACGCCAGCACATCTTCCACCAGTTGTTGTCACCTTCCCCCGTCCTCAACAATTGAAAGAAAACGAGCCGCCGCGAAAACCCGAGTCCCCGGACACACCGAGCATCCGTAGCGAACAAGACTGTAGGCGCTTGCATACAGAAGCCTGGGCAACTGGCTCGCAGACACAGGAACCCAAGAAGGTAGTTGGAAGTCAATTTCTTCACCGTG